CCCACCCCCAGGGCCCAAGCGACCAGCAAACTTTTTGTGCAGTTCAAAGCCGCGGCCGAGATGACCGGGGTGGGCGGGGCGAACAGGGCTGTGGGCGGGGCGTGTCGGGAGGGCGGGCCCGGAGCACTCCGGAAGTTGTCCTGCCCCAAGGCTCTCGAGCTGAGAGACTAGAGGATCTCGGCCTACATTCTTCCGGGGTGGGACGCCCCTTAAGCACCCCACCCCACGTCCCGTCGTAGCTCTCTCGCCTCGGTGTGGTCTCCAGGCGTCGAGTTCGCACCCACTTTCCCCGCGGTGCTGGCAGCGCCCCTTTTCGGCGCCGTTTCTCCCATTATTCCTGAACCCCTGAAACCGAACGGGGATTTCTTTCCCAGAAGCGCGCACAACCTCCCGCTTCCCCCGCGGCGGGGCTTAGTCCGAGGACTGCCCGGGAGAAGGAGGAAGGCGGGAGAGAGTGTTCTGGAAAAGTGGCTAGTCCTAGGAAGAAGTGCTCCAGCGCCCCAAGAGCGAACACGCTTGGGAAAAGAAACTTTCTTTACCTGTCCCTTGAATGTTGCTAAAATTACCTAAAATGACTTCCTCAGCCGTTTGTTTTTGTAAGTCGCCGGAGAAAATATCTTAAATTTTAAAATCCGCGCTGCTCATTTTACCTTGGGAGACATGTTTTTCCCTTTTCCTTTGCTCAGACGACAGACGGGGCCTGCGACCTTCTTTCCAAAACACTGTAGGGACTCGACGGCGCGCCCAGCCCGTCGCGCGCCCTCCTCCTCTCGGCGGGGTGTGCCTGGCCCCAGCGGACCGGCCGGCCGAGACGGCGGGCGCCCCCTGTGGGACCCGGGTCGCGGCGGGGAGCGAGCGGCTGCGCCCGGGGCCGCGGCCCAGCGGGGAAGCGCCCGAGAGGGAACGCGCGCTTTCTCAGTCCCTCAAAACCGCGGGGCTGAGGTCGCCGCTCCGTAGGCTCCAGGGACTAAGCGATGAAGCCGTGCTGTAGCGACACGCTCACCCCACAAAAGGTGGGAGTGGGCGCGGGCTTGTATCTCGGCTGGGACTGAGGAATCTACAGGGGCGGGGAGCGCTGGGTTCCAGGCGTGGCCCGCTGGCCTCGAAAGTTCGAGAACATGAAGGAGGGCGCAGCATCTGCGCGGTCTGCAAAGGGCCAGCGGGGTCACAGGCCGTTTTGCCCCCCCACCCCGCCCTCGGCCCCTAGGGATCTGGAGCAGGCTTCCCACTACGACCCGTCTCCTTCCCTTCCAAAATGGTGTGGGGACCTGATCTTTCAGGACCGTCCTTCTGTTCACTGGTGTCCCCGGGTCCGCTCGACGCGGGTTCAGTCGCCCCCACGCCCACCCGGCCCCACGCGGCCTCTGCCCTCCACCTCTCGCCCCAGAAGGCGGCTACGGGGATCCCACGGGGGCATGCACGAGTCTGTCCCCAACCAACTGGAGAACAAGGGCATTATTGCCAACTCGAATTGATGGCCGGTTTTCCCGTCGTCGCCAAGCTAGACATATCCCCCGCCCGTTTCAACTTGAAGCTGACCTAAGAGCCAGTCGGAGAGGCAACTGACGGTTGAGAGCTGAAGTTCCTGCTAAGAAGTTAAGGCACAGGGAGAGGCGGCACGTTGTCCTGCTTTTACAGGGGTTTCTGCACGCCCTGCCTCCCAGCGTTTGCCCGCGCCGACGTCACCGTGGCTGCGATTAAAACAGCAAAATAAGAATCCTGACCTTCCTTTCCACGAGAATCCTGCAAAGCAGAAAATTCCCTGTGTTATAGCCCGGGACAGTATGAAACTGCACTTTTGACGAAGTATTGGTTGGGATGAGGAGCAGCTACCCGGACTCTAAGAGTTGGAGTCGGAACATCCTCACTTTCTCCGCAAGGGCACCTTGCATTCTGAGCTTTTTATATGTACACACACCCTGCGATTGTATGTGTGCCGAGAAAGAACCATATACGCACATTATTTTTCACGCTTTCACTATTATCTGCCACAATTCTACTCAGTTATTGTGATTTGAAAACACACACACACCCCACCCAGAGGCGAGCATGAGTGGATCTAGTTTAGTGAGGTTACATTTACTTGTAATCCTCCCCCCTCCCTTTCCAATTTCTTTGATGATTTTTCCCATAAGTGTATAAACTGCCGGGACTTTGTAGAAGCAGGCTGCTCTTCCTAAATGTGATTCGGACCATATGCTTTCTACATTCATTCCCGCTCCAGCTTTTCTTCTCCGCACTAACTGCTAACACGTTATAGTCACCTTGAAATTTCCTCTGCTATTTTCCAATTAAAAGCTTAATAGCCCTGGAAACGGAGTTCATGTGGTGAAGTTTACCATAGCCCCTTGTTCTGAAAGGCTTTCTGCTGGGATCCCATTATGTGCTTGAATAAACCCTTTCTGCAAACAGAAATGGGACTCGGGGTTGTCAGGTGTTGGGTTACAATAGACTTTGAGGCAGGGGACATTTTACCAACATAAATACAAACCTGTCCCTATAGGGAGATGTTGTCAAATACTGGGATATGGAAAACATTCCCATCAAATATGAGAAAAGGATTACTGCGCTATATCAAATGAGTATTTAGATCTCAGCCCCCGATGTGCACCGGAGTGAAACGGGGCCCCCGGGACCAAATAATGCCAGACTGTTTGAGTGGCAACGAGATAGGATGGCTAGGTGACCTAGGGAGGAAAGGGGGTCGCCTTGGTAGTGAGAACGCCCCTACAGACCTGGTGCAGAGCCATGCCGCCTTCCTTTTATATTTTTCTTTATTCTCAAGTTCCTTATACTACCCCGTTTCGCTGACCATTTGGAGAAATCGTAACAAATTTGGCTTTGAAAAAAGTCCTTCGTCCCAGGTTCCAAGAGACCCTGAGATTTCAGCGCGAAAATTCCCAAATGCTGTGTCATTCGAGGCCCTCTTATCTCTCATCACGTGAAGGGACACGCTGCCAGCTCCCCACTTCCTCGCCTCGGTCCCACTGGGCTACAGATGACCTCCGCCTCTTGTCCTGAGAGCTTACGAAATGCCTAGCAGTTGTAGTGTTTTAGGGCTGTTTTCCTGAAGGCTGGAAGGAGAGGCGGGATAAAGGTGGCGGGGGAAGGGGCGAAGCCCAGGGGTCCTTACCCTACGTGGCTCAAAGGAAGGCCTCCCATGGCCGGTACTCCCGAGCCAGGGCTTCCTGCCCACGCCCACCAGGTTAGCCTCCCACGATCCGCAACTCCCAGGCGTGTGTGAAACCGAACAGCTAAGGGCTTCAGGGGAAACGCACACAACCGGGATTCCTTTTTAACCCTCCTCCCCTCCGTGAATCAAGGGCAGGCTGCTTGAACGCCTGGTGGTGCTTTACTTGAATTCACAACAAACACAGAGGGACGTTTTCGGGTTGCTTCCTTATTTCCAGAACAGTGCAGAGAAAACCGGCCTCCCCAGGAGACAGGGGCCTCTGAGCCCTGGAAGCGTCGGGCATAGCAGCTACTGCTATACGCTCGCATCTACCGTTCGATTAGCCCACAGCGCCACATGGGCTTAGTGTGCGCTCTCGTAAGAATACGGACTGACGGCTCCAGGACTGCCATCTCCCTCCCTCTTACAGAGCCAGCGTGCAGCCTTGCTCCGACTGTAACCACTTGTGTTTTAGTTTTTGTTTGCTGATGGGGGAGGGGTGTTATCCGTCCGCGTGCATAGGCAGTGGTAGCCTACATTCCAAACCCCGAGATTGCAAACACTCGAATAACAATCGGGTAGGGAATCTGCGGCCTCAAGGCCGCTTGTGGCCCTCCAGATCCGCAAGTGCGGCCCCTTCACCGAATCCAAACTTCACAGAACAAATCCTAAAATTTGAATTTCGTCAAAAGGCCGCACTCAAAGATCCAGAAGGCCACTTGTGGTTCCAAGGCTACAGGTTCCCCACCTCCGTCCATGGGTGGAGTCTTCGGGCTAAGAGGGGGAAAGTGGCCCCACTCCTTGTCCATAACTAAGTAACAGTACACGAGGATCTGAACTGGGTGCCTCTAGTGCCTGCTAGGAGAGAGGGGTAGTGATATCCCTAACTATTGGGAGGCTAATGTGGCTTTTGAGTTCGCTCTCTGAAAGTTTAGACCCACTGCTCAAGCAAATCCTCTGCGGGAGCACTTCCCTGGCCTTTCAGACCGTTTTTTATTAAACCACAGGGAAGAAGGTAGAAAAAATAAAATTAGCCTGTAAAATGAGTTGTCATCTTTGGGTGAGTGGGTTTTCAGAAACATGTTCTTCTACAGCAACAAAAGATAAAAAAAAAAAAAATACGTCGCAAAAGAAATTCAAGAAAAGAGCCAAAATTTTCCCGAATCGACACGACTTCCTCCACCCCACTCTCAATCGAGTCCCAGGTGCACCCGCAACGCTCCCGTAGGGTCGGATTCTCCCGGAGCTGAGTTTTTGCGGCCAATTGTCGGGATAAAAGCGGCCTTGGGCTCGGTGCCGCTAGATCAGGCCTGGAGGGAGGGGAAGAGCGCGGAGGGGAGCGGTCACCTCACTCTCTAACAGGCACCCCCACCCTCACCCCTGCTGGTCCTCCCCTTCCCCGCCCCAAGTGCACCGCCACTCTCAGGAGCGCCGCAGTCACTCCCGCGGCAGAGAGGGCTTGGAGGAGGGGGCCGTGAGCGCCCCCGCGAGAGTGGCCTGGCTGCAGGTGGCAAGGAAGGTGAAGTGCAGGGACCCGAGGGGCGCATGGAAGGAGGAAGGCGCGGGGTGGGGAGGACAAGGAGACAGAGACCCCAAGGGTGGGGGTGGCGGTGGGAGGGAGGAGCGGTAGGGGGAGGGCGGCGGAGGAGGTGCTGGGTCCGGCCAGCGCGCTAGGGAGCTGCAGACGAGCTTAATCAGAGCTCTCGCCGGCTCCTTGCAGCCGCCGCAGCTCCTCGGACGGAAGGACGTGCCGACCCGGCTGCGTGCCCAGAGCAGCGGCCGGCGGAGACGCGACGGGCCTGGGGATTGGCCGGGTACGAGTCGGAAGCCGCAGCCTGTGAGCGCCCCGGGAGCTGGAGAGACGGCTGCTGCACCTCCAGCCTCCTCGGGACACACGCGGTCACCGGGGCTGCGGGACCCAGGGCCGCGCCGCCCGGAGGCCGCCCCTGAGCGGGCCTCGCAGCCCAGCCGTCCAGCGCCCCCTGGCCTGCTCCCGCCGCCAGCCCGCCAACTCATCCGGGAGCCCGGGGCATGAACGGCTACGGCTCCCCCTACCTGTACATGGGCGGCCCGGTGTCGCAGCCGCCGCGGGCGCCCCTGCAGCGCACGCCCAAGTGCGCGCGCTGCCGCAACCACGGCGTGCTGTCCTGGCTCAAGGGCCACAAGCGTTACTGCCGTTTCAAGGACTGCACCTGCGAGAAGTGCATCCTCATAATCGAGCGGCAGCGGGTCATGGCGGCGCAGGTGGCGCTGCGCCGGCAGCAGGCCAACGAGAGCCTGGAGAGCCTCATCCCCGACTCGCTGCGCGCTCTGCCCGGGCCCCCGCCGCCCGGGGACGCCACCGCCGCCCCGCAGCCGCCGCCGACCTCGCAGCAGTCTCAGCCGCCGCCGCCGCCACCGCGTCCTGCTGCGGAGTTGGCCGCGGCCGCCGCGCTGCGTTGGGCCACCGAGCCGCAGCCCGGGACACTGCAGACGCAGCTCGCCAAGCCAGGTAAGAGCGTCTGCGGTGTGGGGCTTGGGCCGGGCGAGTGGGCCACTTTGGAGTGCCTGCTGCGGCTCTGCTTGGGAGGCCCGAAGGCAAGTTTTCGGGAAGTTGGCGAGCCCGGGCCTTCGTCCTCAACCCTCGTCAGGCCCAATCTTACTGGCTCGTGAGAAGCCGGCCTGAGTCTGGACCCAGCGCGGTTGGAACCCGGCACCCGCCCGAAAGGCGCCTCCGGCGACCCGAACGGCGGGCCTGCGTCGGGATCGCTCGTTCCCTGTTCCAGGTTGAAGGGGAACATGCCAAATTTAGCGGGTAGATAAAGGAAGCCAGACAGGAACAAATTAAAACCCATGCAGTCACAGTCACCACGATGTGGCCGGGCTTTCCTGGCGGCAGGCTTTAGAGAGCCTTGCATTTGTGGGTTGGGACGGGCAGACGCAGGGAAGGAGCCAAGGCCCAAGGCTTGGTGGACTCCAAGCTGGGCGTGCTCTGCTCAGCCCAGGGGAATTGGAGCGAGGACAAGAATCTCCTACTTGGGGGAACCTGTAGCCTTTCCGGCTTCGCTGTGTGCCCTCCAGACTCTTCCAATTTGGTGAAAGAAGTTCCATTTAGGAACAATAATAAAAAGGTCCCAGAAGTCTTCCAGGCTGATATCGGGGACCTGACCAAGAATGTGGCATGCCCAGAATCAACTCCTTTACAGAATCACTTAGGTCCTGTAACCCCAGGCTGTCCTCAGCTGTCTTTGTGGTGTAGAGAAATAAAATTTGACCTACAGTGAGGAAGGCCATCTCTGGCAAGCCCTTACCAGGTCATAGGCGGGCTTGGGCCTCAGGTTGCTTAACCTTCTGTTAGGAGCAAAGGCTTTCTAGGCTCTTCTTACCTCCCATTTTCTCTCCTCTGTTGTGCTTTAAGAAGGGTAGGTCTGCTCTGAGCACTGGAGGTGGGCGGTCCCCCATCCCATCCGTTTTTCTTCTGCAAGCCTCCTGAGTTTGGCGTCCTGAGAGTTGAGTCTCTTAGTCTCTTTCCTCCTGGGGAGTTTTTAGCCTTCAGTCCTGTCCAGCCTAAGAACTACTTTGATGGCTTTTGAAATACAATGGACATGTGTTTGGCATTTGTCTTTTACTGGGGCAAATGTACAAAGGGATAAAAGCCCATCTTCTCAGGGAGGGGGGGTACGTTGGAGTTAGGAGTGGGAAGGTCTGGAAAGCTCCGGTAGAACTGTGTTAGAGATGGTCCCTACAACCCCCAGCCCCCCAAAAAAGTATCCCTGGCTTCAAGATCATGGGGCTGTTGTGTGGAGCTGAGGATGTGATAGCAGTCTTGCTGGGTTTGTGGGGAGTTGATAGGTAGCCTGGTAGGTCCAGTTCTGCTGCCCTGTCTTCAGTGGTGCACTTCAGGCCAGAAGCTCTGAGAACAACCCTAAGTGAAGAGCAGAACTGGGTATTTTAAAAACAGATGAGAGTTTGCTGAACATGGATTTTTGTGAACATTTAATCCAAGGTAGCATGTAAGCATTTCTCTGAGGAATGCCCCCCAGTTGTCTCTCTTTTGTCTCTCCTCTTTATATTTGTGGATTTGCCATAGAGGAATGGGAGCGGGGAGAAAGAGGGACTTTTGTTTTTCTCCGTTAGGTTAGAACAGGTAACTAGGAGAGTTTGGTCTCAGCTCTAGAAGTGGATCCGAGCCAGTATCTTTTCTTAATTTTTCCATTTCCGGTTTCCCTAGTTGTGTTTCTTCCAGGACCAGGGCAGGAGTCAGAGTTAATGTCAGAGGTAGCATTTTGCAGTGGCCACCTGCCCAGCAGCACCCCTGTAATGGGGCATTGGATTCTGTGGTCCTTGTCCAAGAGGGGATTCCTTTCACATCCTGAGCTCTTCAGACTATTGTTTGGGATGCCCAAAGTTCATGGTTTCTAAAGTCACAAAACCAAAACAACCCCAGGAGGAGGAGGAGTGAGGGCAGGAAGGTGGAATAGCAGCTGCAGCAGCAGCAGGATACATGCTTTGGGAGAATAGAAAAGAGAAGATTTCAACTGGACAAACCAGACCCTGGTGCTCTCTCTTTTACTCCCACCACGTCTCAGGGATAGCCTAAGCCTTTCAAATTGAAAGCAAGTAGTTGCAAAGGAGAATGGGATTTATCACAATGAAAGGTAAGAGTGATGACTTTGTGGGGTCTGAGCCATCAGAGACCAACAGCTCAGTTTCTAGCTCATCACCCCACATACCTTGCACATCCATTTACACAACTTTTGTTTTCTTCTTTCAACTGATTTGACCCCATAATTCCATTCTTTAAAAAAATCCGATGGAGATGTGGGAGGAGGGCCGGAATAGAACAGATAATTATTTTCATTAGGAAGAAAAGCATACAAATGGATCTGCTCTATGCTGTGCTTCCAGAGAGAAATTCCATTTGGCGTTTAAGTTGGAGAAAACTGTTAAATGAGACTGTTGCTATATACATTATACCTTTTTTGCATTTGTTCTGCCAATATATTTGTATGTAACATACCATGGGTGTTTAGAAACATATCAGATATTCCTGGATAAGTAGCTCACTGTATGTAGAGAGTAAGTGAAGCTCTATTGGAATAGTAGGTCCACATGTACAGTAAGTACCCAGACCATCAGGAATCTCTAAATATCTGCTGGCAAATCATGTAGATCTGTTTCTTTGTGAACTTTGATTTAAAAATGTGGTTGGTCTTTTTGCAGGGCAAAGGGCCTCTAGTACATAGCTGTGGAGAGATTTTTTTTTCCCTTAAATACAAAAGCACATGGAGTCTTTTTTCTCTCCAGTAATCTTTGAGAAAAGCACATGCCTTAATGAAGAATATGTTTGCTGAGCACCTTTGGAGGAAAACCACCCAGTTCAGGGAGTGACACATAAACACCAAAACTCAAGTTTTGTAACTGGAAGAAATCTTCCTAAAATTCTGCTTCAGATTATTTAAAGGAATGGAGGTAATTTTATCTAATGATATAATATGTTGAACGTCCTTTTCAGTGTAGTGATGGTTTTAAGGAGAATTTTCATATTCTAATGGTAATTAGTTCTAGCTATGGATCGAAGTATTCTTTTTTTCTTTTTGAATGTAAATTTCTTCTGCTTCTTTGATTATAATCTGTGATCAACTTGGAATTATTAGATTTTGATTGAAATCTAAAAATTCTAATTTAAGCTTATAGATATGTGTATGCACACACACATATATACACTATTGAATGAAATTATTCTTTTCTTAAATTCCCTCTACATCCTCGTCATACTTCTCCCCATGAAAATAGCATAGGAAGCATGAACATCTTTCACCTGTTCATGTATCTGAGTCAGCAGTCTCAACCAGCCAAGCCAGCCTTTCAGGACCTGAGCTCAAAAGCTGAGAGAAGTTAAGGGTCAAGGCCAAGGTGAAAAGCTGAAGTTACATTCCTGTGTTGTGACTCCCTTCCCCACCCCCAGCTCTTCCTCCAGGAGAGTGTCCTGGGTCACCTCAGGCTGTGGTGCCTGGAGAGGAAAGATCTGTGTTGTAGATTCTTCCTAGGTCTGTATCTGCCATCAAAATAAATATATACACAGATTCTTTTAAATGCTTTTAAAGGAAAAAAATCAAAAACATTTGGTTAGGAGTAAGAGAGGAGCAAGATCAAATAGGAAAGTAGGATCATCTTTCGTGTTTATTTCTTCTGAACGAGAATGAATAAGATAACTATAGAGAGAGAAGTTAGGAGAGCTTGGAAAACTGCCTTTCTTTTAGTTTACCTCTTGCCGGGCGCCCGGCAAACATTTTTATGCTTGCTCTGGGCATTTTAGCTCCAGCTTGATTAGGTCCCGCCGGGTCTGGTTATTTTTTGCTTTTAATTTTTTTGCCCCCCGAAGAGAAGCACCTGCATGTATAATAAGGTATCAGAGAACACTCATGCAGGCCAGGGTGGGAAACTCTCTGTAACTACAGAGTAGGAGCAAACGAAAAATCGAGAAAGACTTAAAAGCTAATTATGAAGTGTGCGTACGTATGAATTTTCAAACGGGGTCTGGTTTTAAGACGGCTTGATTTGAGGCAAGGGGCCTGACTCAGAGTTGCACTTTAAAAAACAAAACCCAATCAAATAAAAAGGAAAAAGCTTACTGGCACGATTGATCTCTTCCAAATCTTCCCACAGGCTGGCTCTTGAAGGCGGGATGCCACCGGGCACGGATCTTCCCGCTCTCCACCCTGAGGGTTTGCGCTGTGCAGCGTGGACTGGGTTGTGTGCGGGGCTGGGGAGAGCAGCAGTGGTGGCGGGACAGGGACCCTGGCCGAGGTGGGCTGGGGAGACTTTCCTCTCCCTGGGCAGAGGTACTGGACGGTTGTCCCCGTGTGCCGGCTCCAGGGACTGCCGCCTGCCGGCCTCCTTCCTCGCCCCTGCTCGCTCTTGGCAACTCTGGAACATCCCGGCCGCACACGGAGGAGGAAGCGCCGGCCACCTCTTGCCGCCTGCGCCTTTCCCATGTCTTGCCTCTTGGGCCACTGCTCCCTCTCCGATTGTCCAGAGCTTTCCTACCCTCTCCTTCCAAAGGCAGGAGTCCTGGGGCGAGTTGCCAAATTTAGCAACAAACATGCAAATAAAAAACAGGATGCCAAATATTGCACGGAACATGCTCATACTGAAAATTACTCATTATTTATCTGAAGTTCAAATTCAACTAGACATCCTGTTACTTTATCTGGCAACCCTCGGCCAACGCATCCCCCACCCGGCTCCGGTCACCCCGCAGGACTACTCTGGGCTTGCTAGGTCGCTCGTGGGTTGCCTCCTGGCTTCTTTTCTCTGCAGAGTCCAAGCTGTCCAGGACGGGCGTCGGGGAGGCATTGGTGCCCACCTTGTGGAGCTGAGAACAGAGTTGGCAGGCAAAAAAAAAAAAAAAAAATGAGAGTGTGACCCACGTCCAGGAACCAGAGTTCCACTGCCACCCGGGAAAAGACTCCTCCGCACCCCCAACACACTACACTCCCTGGTGTTATA